CCCCCCCCCCCCCCCGGGTCCGGCTGCCTGCGGCACTCTGGAACCATCCGCTGAACCTCGCCACACTTGCTGACGCTGCCCTGGCGGTTGTGTGTGCAGGTGTTTGTCACAATCCAGGACGCTTTGAAGTTCCGCAAGGTCACCAAGCCCATCCTCGACCTCGTTTCAAGAGATCCCGTCCTGAGCAAGGCCATCACGAACCCTAAGACCGCCGCAACCGTGTTCATCCCAATTGCCACGGTGGGCAACGTGTTGAACATTGCTGAGGAGGCACCCGCATGGATGGGCAGGAGGCACACCACTTGATCTTACAAAGGAATGATGAAACCGTTTGCATAGTCAAATGCACGCATGCTCAGCAACATGGTCCATGCTTGCACAGGCCGGACAGGGTCGAAGACAGCTAGGCAAGGTGTTTGGGGAATGCAGCGGCCAGCGCACTCCCCGGCCGACGCTTGCATCACTGCTACTTGCTAGTCATCATCCTCAGGGCCCAAGCACCACTTCTTTCTCCCCCTGCAGCCCAATTAAACGCCTCACGTATACCTGCACCTGCGCCCGCGCCTGCACGTGCCCACTTGCAGGCCGCCGCGCCCCTGGCCGCAGCAGTGGCGAAGCCGGGTGCCGAGGTGACCCTTGCCGGCCGCAAGGTGCAGCTGAATGCGACCACTTTGGGCACGATCCTGGCGGACCACTTTGTAGGTGGCGCGCGCATACTCCCAAATGCGGTCAAGGACGGGGAGAAGCTGCCGACTCTGGCAAAGGGGCACTCCGTGATTGTCAAGAAGGTGGGCGGGCGCGAGGGGGTGGTAGGGGACGCGTCAGACAACGCGCGTGCAGGCATGTGGATGTGGGGGAGTGCGTTTTGCGGCATGTGTGCACAAGCTGAATGCGCGCGTGAGCACGCATCTCAGACAAGGCAGCGCGCAAAACAGTGCGTATCTGCCTGCTTGGCGCAGCGGCACGAGTGCTGAACTCCTCGGGACCTCCGAGGGCATTGACGAGTCATCAGTGCCTGGCTGGGGGCCGTCAGCAGCCGTTACTCTAGCGAACCCTCCTGACGTACGCTCATACCATCACAAGCGGCCGCGACCCACCAACCTCCATTCCCCTGCTTCTTCCAGGTGTTTGAGGCCCCCAAGGTTGGGACGATCGAGCTGATCTCAGACCTCAAGGGCGCCCCGCCGGCCAAGGTGGTCAAATTCGACATCATCGCCGGCGCCAGCCTCGTCAACCGTGAGCATATATGCACCTGCTACCCCATCCTAACCTGCATCACTGCCTCCAACCTGCAAAATCTGGGATGAGGATTGTTATGGAAATCTTGCATCCGCAACACATGGGACAGCTGCGACCCATCATATGGCGCCAGCGTGCTTGCTCACTCCACTGCTGAATTCATCCTGCGCCACGTCACTCGTTGCAGTGATCAATGGTACCTTGCTGCCAGACATCAAGGCACTCACTAGCAACGCCACTGCGGTCCCCTCAGCCAAGTCCCCGGCCCCCAATAAGCCAGCCACGCCAGCCGCGGCGTCCCCTGCACCAGGAAAACCAGCCACAGCCCCATTTCCTGCTGCTGCGGCCACGCCGGGGACGTCTCCGGCACCCACGGCGGCAGTGGCGGCGGCCAACACTACGGTGGCGGCAAACACGACACAGGCTCCTGTTACGGCAGCAGCCGCGTCAGCCTCTCCGGCGCCCTCGCCATCCCCGGCGCCTGCAGCTCCCGTGGCAGCGAAGGCAACCCTCAACGCGACGCGAAACGCGACTCCTCAAAACGCCACAGCAGCCAACTCAACGGCGGCAGCCAATTTGATTTCTCCTTGATTCGAAAGCTACATTTGCTGTTGCATTATGACTGAATTGTAATTGCGCATTGCTGCAAGGCCTGGATAAGGCACAGCATGTGGAAGTGTTGAGGATTTTTAAATCCTGTGAAGCAGAAGTATCTGGCACCTGTGGCCAGGGAGGCACAGCGCGCACAACGTTTGGTGTTCGCCCTCCCTCTTTGTTTAAGGAACACATGACCCTATGCCGAGACGTCTAGGATCACCGCAGGGTGAGGCTATGCCTTGCGCTGCATTCTGACAGCTGTCCATTTATTCTTGTAATCACCCTCAAGATGTAGGCAGGGGCAGGGGGTGGGGCGCACAATCTGGCCAGGATTTGGACACGCACCCCCCGCAAAGATGTTCGACTATGCAGCCTTTCGTGCAGGAGTTGGCACACTGCAGGTCATAATCAGTAGATTAAATTGTGTGGGGGTATCGACGACCAACTGCGCTGCCCTTGCAATTGTGCGACGTGGCATGCGCTCGGCATGCGGAGAATACGGTATGGGAAGGACCCTATGCTGTGTACCCGCCGGGTGCACCACTGAAGACGGCAAGGTGGTTCAGCAGCTCTGCAAGCTTCAAGTGGACGGTTTTGATTGCATGAGGCCGTCACCTAACAGTTTGTCCCGAAGGATATCTGCAGAAGGGGGCGGGTCACCAACCAACCACCAGCCAACTGCACCATTTCATACCTGCCTCGCACGCATCATGCAGACTCCAAAATCGACGGTTTTATTCATTCAAGGTGCTCAAACATACACACAAAGGAGAAAGGACTTGGAGGTCGTCAATTTTGAGCGTCTCGGGCAGCGACTGGCATCATGCTTCGTCTCAGCTTAATAGTAGCTCTGGCAGCCTGTCTACTAGTCATACCGGAGCCTGGGACGATCGATGCCCGTGACTTGGTGCGGAAGGACCTTCAAACGCCGAACACGCTGGATCTCGACCAACCGCTGTGAGTACGTGTGTACATAAGACGAGAGGTCACTTCAAGCACTGTTGTTATAGCAGATGGCCAACAGCTGCAAGCTGTGGCGGTTTGCAACAGGCGGTTAATCGCTTTGGGCGCCGCGCGCTGCAGTACCGCTGTTCACTGTGCGCTGGACGTCTGACATGATAGCATCTATGATAATGCACAGCACGGGCTCGTGCCGAATCAGGGGCGTTCATCCAACCTGCGGGCTCCGCTATGCAAGCCACACACGCTCACTTCTGCGTTCTCATGCAGCCTACACACACACACACACACACACACACACACACACACACACACACACACACACACACACACACACACGCACGCACGCACACTCCACCCGGGCAGTTACACCCGCACAAATGTTGGGTTCCCATGCTCCGGCGTGCGTTGCGAGGCGTGGCTGTACCTGCCGAAAAACCGGGGGGCCGAGAGGCCGCCGGTGGTGCTGATGGCACACGGTGAGCACGCCGTGTTGCTTCCCCCCGTTTTGCCGCGGCGATTTACCGAGGTCGGCCGGCTGTGACATCAAAATTGGTCGGCTTGGTGTGCGTGCTGGTTGGCACCTGTGTTGCCGGATTCCGCGCGCTGCCTCAGCTGCCTGGCGACCTCCCGGGCGCGCACGCTGCCGTGTGTAGGGATGGGCGGCCAGAGGGACACCGGCCTGCACAAGTGAGTCCTGCAGCAGCCGCCGACACGTGAAGGGCCCCCCGCCTTGCAGCTGGACCCTTCACCACACCGCAGCTTGATTGCACTGAGCCCATCCTCGTCTGCTGTGCGGGCGGTGGATGAGTAACCGAATCAGCGCGTGACGGCACCCTCAGAAGATTCCCTGCAGTGAACGTCCTTGACCACTGCCCGCTGGAGCGATCCCGCCCCCAACCCCTCGCACCCCTGGCCGTAACCTCCCTCCGGAAGGTACTCTGCCTACTTTGCTGATGCCGGCCTGGCGGTGTTCACGTTCGACTACCGAGGCTTTGGCGGCAGCGACGGCGAGCCGCGCCACTGGGTCAGCCCGCGGCGGCACATACAGGACTGGCGGGCCGCGTTCGATTTCGTCACTGGCAGCACAGGCGCCAGGGAGGGGCGGCAGGGGCTTCTGGGGGAGGTCGATCCCGACAGGTGGGCGGCTGCAGCGGCTGGGGCAGCTGCCGCGCCCGTGGATCCCTGCTGCGTTTGTTGCGTGCTTGCAGGGGTGCAGGGCGGCGACCCCAGCCTTGGCAGTGGTGCAGTGACGCATTGGCTGTGTATCCAGCCGCAGAAACGCAAAGCATGCATTTCATGCCCAGATATGGCCTTGAAATGTTGACATGGTGCATGCGCGCACTCTGCAACGTCTGCCACTGTCGGCTCCCTTGTGACGTGCGGCGTGTGGACGTGCAAGCTTGCGACCTCGCTTCACGCCTCCGCGTGTGGGACCCAACCCAGGGTCATCCTTTGGGGCACGAGCTTTGGCGCCGGCCACGCGCTCAGCATTGCGCCCACCCTAGGGCCGCGGGTCAAGGCGGTCATAGCGCAGGTGGGAAGAAGGGGCCGTCGGGCAATATGTCGCGGCCAGATCAAGAGGGCCCCACCAGATCATTGAGATCCCGCCCAAATTTGACTGACCAGCTGCCGTCTCGACTGGTTGTGTTTGACCACAGGTGCCCCACCTCAATGCAACGGCAGCAACACTGCGATCGGTGAAGTCCCGGGGGATCCCCAAGTCGCTGCGCATGCTGCTGCTTGGGCTGAAGGACAAAGCCAGGCAGGTTGGGGAGGTGTTGACGCGTGAGTGCGGTCAAGACGTGTGCGTTTGCTTGTGTGTGTGTGTGTGTGTGTGTATGTGTGTGTGTGTGTGTGTGTGTGCGCACATTGCGATATGGCGACAGCAGTCGGCAGGAAGGTGGGCTTGCGCGATAAAAGCGGTGCCCGTTGCATGCATCACGCTTGTTACAGATATCAACTCGTCCAAAGAAACCCCTGCTGCCGCATTTCTCGCCGACGCACGCCAAACTGCCGCCCCCATGCACCCCCTAGGCATGCCCTTGGGCTGCCTCCCATCTATGTGCCCCTGGCTGGGCCTCCTGGCAGCTTGGCCCTGATGCAGCTGGAGGAGGATGACATGACGCACTACCTGGCCAGCCGGCCAGAGCAGCCGCAGGTGTGGGCGTCGATGTGGGTGCCTGCGTGGCGACGATGTGTATCTTCATCTCGTTGCGTGTGTTGGAATGGTTCTTGTGCATTCTAGGTTGATGGGTGGTAGGGTGGGTGTGGGTTGAGTGTGCGGCGTCTGCACGCGTATGTGCGAGCACGTGTGTGCGTTTGTGTGTGTAAGCGGGGCTCGGGGTTGGACTCAGCACTTAACGTGCAGGTGCTTTTTTTTGGGTAAGAGTGCGGCCAGGGCATCACACCACCCACTCAACGATCCTCGTCACCCAGCCTGGTGGCACGGCTCGCGGCTGTGCGATGCCGAGCCTGCTGCCGCCTGCGGTACCCACAACTGTGCATGTCTATACCCTGAACGTCCGGCCCCGCCGTCGCAGGGGGGGTGGCGCAACATGGCGTGCGCGCGTCTGAGCGCAGAGCTCACCCTGGAAAAGTACTCCCCGATTACGGCGATCCCGCGGATTGAGGTGCGTGGCTGTCGATTGCGCGGCGCACCCCGCTCGCCTCCGAGCGCCCCTGCGTGGTGCGTCCTGCGCGGCGACCAGGCACCCTCGGTGGACTTATCCACTGCACACGGCGCCTGCGTTGCACTTGGTCCACCTGCGCGCAACGATGGTGTTCCCCCGTGATATTGGCCCCCCTTGATATTGGCCTCTGCTTGAGCCTTGTTAACGGCAAGCATATTGCCAAGCACGCCGCTGCCAATCCAGGTGCACACCCACACCCTCCCATGCCTGAACCGTCCACCCCCTCCCCTCAAACGGACCCATCCCTACCGCCAGGCTATGCCCGCATAGCGCCCACCCTCCCCCTCTTCTTGAACCCTGCCGGCCCCGCGCGCTCCGACCCCCCTCTTTGCCCCAAGGCCCCTGTCCTGCTGGTGGCGTCCACCCAGGACCAGCTCTGCCCCTACGACCAGGTGCAGCGGGCGGTGCAACTCGCAAAGAAGGGGACCCTCATCTCCCGGTGAGAGTCGGCCGTTGCTCGCCCGATCCCTTGTGGCTCGCCTTGCAGTGACGCTCCAGTGTCGGCGGCGCCCGCGTCCCCTCACCTTCAAGAGGGCTGTTGCCGCATCCGGTCCCTCCTCGGATCGCACACTCTTCCGTGGACTCGCCCCCTCCATCTCACCTACCTGACCAATCGGTCCTTCCCACCAAAATCTTGCAAACTGTATATGTATGCCGTGATTGCTGACCCGATCGCCAAACTGGCACCCTTGCCAAGGGCAATTGCTTCATTCCACACCCTGCCATGCCCCCGCCGCCAAAAGTCCTGGAGCTGCTGTCACTCTCCATCGTACCCCTGAACCCTGAACCCTGCACCCTCAACCCCCCCGCCCGTTGTGACGTCCAGGGAGGTGGCCCATTTCTACCTGACGTCCCCAGAGCAGCTGCCGAGCCTCATGAGGGAGCAGGTGGCGTGGCTGCTGGACGTGCTCGGCCTCCAACGCGCCGCCACGCCGGAAGGTGAGCGGGCACATGCACGCCTCGACGCCTTGCGGACGCACTGCAGGCATGACCTTAGCCGACGGCCAGAGCCTGCGCGCCCACAACTCCACAGCAGGCGCCGACGGGCCAGAATAGGGGGGCATGTGTTAAAGGAGGGCTCGTGGCAGCTTGAATGGCCGTGGACCAAGCAGGACATGGCACAGCCTCCAATCACCTGTGTGTCCCCGCTGCTGCCACACGCCGCAGAGGCGCACGAGCAGGCGGAGCGCAGGGCGGGTGCGGCGGTGGAGGCAGCAGAGGGGGAGGCGGGGGCAGGGGAGGCATCCACAGACTGAAGTTGCGGACAGGAACGGGCTGCGGCACACAAGAGTAGACTAATGGGGCCAACCGCGCCTCTAACGTGCCAGACAGCCAACAGGTGCATGGCGTGCACTCGCAAGAATGTGAGTGTTGGACAAGAAAAGCGCAGGCGTTGGCTGGTACATTCTTATGCTGGGCACTGCTGTATGTGTGGGTACGTAGCGAGCTTGTGTCAAGCCACCACATTACATGCATCACACGCTTGGGCTTGCCCACTGGGCGCATACAATCATACAGGTTTTACATTTCGCACAGCAGCAGCGCCGACTTATGGGCATTTCCCCATGTGCAAGCAGGTGGTGTCCAGTCTTGCTTGTGCACCAACTTGGTGATAAGCGCTTGCAAGACCATGTCACTAAAGCGCTGGGGCATGGACATGGTATATTACTATCTGGGCTGCCCTCTTGCTGCGCCTGAGGGTCACCAACACGGTGTTGATGCTGTTATTCCGGTCCTCTGTTGCAGTCCACCCTACTAAAGTATAGCCTGGGGATGGGTCGACTGTCACAGGCAGGGAGCGCAAGAAATGGTCCTTGCCATGCCTTGGTTGCTGCAGCTTGATTGTTACTGATTGATGCGCAGTGCTGGCGCACAGATGTATTATGAGCAATCTCATGTGTTCGCAGGTGGTTGCTTCTGGAGGCGCTGGTTGCATACCGAAGGGTGGCAAAGCACGTGTGCAGCATGGGAAGCATTATTTGATCCCAATTGATGGAGCGGTTTCACAGTCTGGAAGGGGCGGCGCCGTGTGGCGCGCACTCCAGGCCTTGCAACTGGCCGGTGCAAGCAAGGCGTTTGAGGGCGCAGGTTGCACATCCTCACCGATTGCAACAGCCAGATTTGAAGATAGCGAAGAGCGAGGCGCTGTTTGATCTACTGCGCAGCCGTCGGACCACAGGGCCAGAGGGCAGCAGCACACCTGTAGTTGCAGATGCGCGCGCACCAAGCAACGCACGGCCGAGAACGTGTCTACGGCGCCCCCGCCGCCAACAACACGGGGCGCCCAACAATTGGGCAAGCGCTCCGCGCCTGTTTTCGTCACTTGCCCCCGCAGCGCCACCACAGAGCCAGCAGAGAGGAAATTCGTGAGCCGCCAGCCGGACGGTGTGCACGCCAAGTGTCGCTCCTGCTCTCCAGAGTCTGGAGCAAACCCAAAACCCTGAACCCCGCCATCAAGTGATTGCATCTAAGAGACTAACGCAGCGTGGCTCGTGCGTCGCTACGCGTGTGCCGACAAACGGCTCAGCTGCCGCGCATGTGCCACTGTCATGCGCGGGCCTCGCCGTGCGAAGCGCAAGCGCAGTCCAGGATCACAGCAGGAGCACGGCGGTCAAGAGCGCCGCGGCGCCGGCCAGCGAGGTGGCGGCGAGGCTGCTCGCTGAGTTTTGGGCCGTGCGGCGCAGGCGAGCCGGGTGCTCGCCACCGGCCAAACCCGCCAGGCCCGACCGGGAGGGGCGCAGCCCTGGAGTGGCGCCCGGCGCGGCGCCTGCAGGTGCAGCCCTGCCGTCGTCGCCAGCCGCGGGTGTGCCGGTGCCGGCCTGGGCAGGCGCAGGAGCGTCGGCTGCTGGCGCTGCCAGTGCCGCGGCCGCGCGGGCGCCGGCGGCAGGGGCGCCAGCCGCGCTGGGAGCCGTCGGGGCGGCCGCTGAGGGAGCGCCAGACGCCGAGGCGATGGCCGGCGTGGCGGGCACGCGGGTGCTGGTTGTGATGGGGCAATCTGCGAAACGAGAGCATGAGGGGTGTCAGAGATCCACAGGCGTAGAAACAGGTCTTCTCGTCCGTGCAAATCCTCACAGTGTGCACTGCTGGCGTTGCGGTCACCGCCGGGCTTAGGCGCCACACCAGCAGAGGCTCTGCAGGCGTGTAACCATGCCAGCTGTCTGCTGCTCGTTGTGTCAAACCAGCAACTGCGCTTCAGCCCCCAATGGCAAGGCCAGCAGAATGCAGGAGAACACCCACCAGTGGGGGCCTTGGTGTGGATGATTTCCCATGCCAGCTTGCCTAGCTCCACCCTGTCATCCTCCACCTCCCTCACATCGGTCGCCCTGCATGTCGGCGCAGCCGCCGCCAGCATACGCCGCGACGCCGCCGGGATCGCGGCGGGCGCGGGCGCGGCCGGCAGTGCGGCTGCGGGGGGGAGCGCCCAGGAGCAGGCCGGGTCCGCGACCTTGCAGGCCGCCTCGGTGGCGGCGAGCTGGCAGGACACGATGCGGCGCGTCTTGGATCCAGGGCAAAAGGCGGTGCTTACGAGGTTGGCGGGGACGCGGCAGCTGGGGGTCTGGGGTTGCCAAGAAGATTGGGCGGCGAGGGGGGGGAGGGCGTACATCGGTTGTCAAGACTCGCAGGACTGCATCGGTTAGATGCATTCCTGCATCGGTTAGATGCATTCAAGTGCAAAGGTGCTTGTCAACTGCTGTTCATGCGCCGTCAATCATTCAAGGCAGCAGCTTCCCTAGCCAGCCTGCTGCGAGCACGTGAGCAGCCGGCCGTTGCAGACAAACCGCAGCAACACGAAATAAAATCTCAAGCTTTGACGCGAGCCGCAACACGAGCAGCCAGCCATTGCGCATGCGCCGCAGCAACATGGGACACACAGTAGTCCTGGGCGCCGCCGCTGCAACTGCCGCCAACGCTGACGCACCTGCCCAGCGTCCCACGCGCAGAGCTTGGACTTGCCCGCGGCGTTGCATGCCACTGCGGTCTGGAACTTGACGCACGCCCCTTGGATGGGCGCAACCAGAGTGTCGGCCACCGCCTTGCTGAGATCCAGCTGGCTCAGCTGTGCGCTGGACAGCCCACCAAACGCGACCGGAGGGGCCGGCCCCGCCTTCGGCGCCGCAAGCGCCGGCTCGAGCGCCGCGGGCGCCGGCTCCAGCTTGGGCGCCGCGGGCGCCGGCTTGGGCGCAACAGGGGTGGGCGCGGGCGCCGCGGGCGCTGGGGTGGGCGCCGCGGGTGCCGGCTTGAGCGCGAGCGCTTGGTCGGATTCTGGCTTCAGGGTGGGCGCAGGGGCCGCCTTGAGGAACGCTAAGGACGCGGGCGTGGGCGCGGCTGTGGATGCCGGCAAGGGCTCCGCTGGCTTGGAGTTAGGCCCTGGCTCTGGGTCGGCAACTGCTACAGGCGCCACGGCAGCCGTTGCAGGTATCGAGGGCACCGCCGGTGGGCCGTCTGTAGCCACAGCGTGGGTGGCGGCCGCTAAGGCTGCCAGCGCAAGGCATGCAAACGCCAGCCGCGCAGCCGCGCGAGCCATCCTTCCTTGAGCTACTCGATGTCCCTGTTTGGCACAGCGAATTCAAGGGGTGCAGAGTGTGAGCACCGTGGCGTACGTGTGCGTGCCACTGCGCCGCCGCAGTGGCGCCGTTTTGGCCTTAGCACATAGATGCCGCTGATATAAAGCTGTGAAGCGCCCAATTAATCTATTCGTTCGCATAGATCTTGGATCCCCCGCGCGCTTGCTGCTGTAGCGCTGATCGACACGCACTGTCGTCCATCAACAAACCTGTGGAGGCCCAGAATCGGCTTGTTGGGTGTATATAACAACGATGATAATCACAAAATTTGTTTATCGCACACCGCATGACCGCCCAAGCGTAGTTGTGGTGGGCGAACCCCGGCGGCGGTTGTCTCACAGCACAGCAGCACTGGGCCTGCAGCACCCTTATGCACGCCCATGCCCGATGCCCCCTACAGTAGGTGCCGCTGGAGCGTGTCTGCAAGGAACCTGTGCGGATCAGTAACTCCCATGATGCTTGCAATGATGAGCGATTTCGAGATCATATCCAAGAACAAGTCAATGTCAGGCGGCAGCCAACCCTCATGCTCCATCCCATCATTTATCAAAGCGATGCACTTGGGGCTCATGGACTGACCAGAGGTGAACATGTCGGACAGCAGATCAGCCGGTCAATATTTCGCAGGCCCCGCCGCTTTTCAACGCATCAAACTCATGTTCTGCCTGCAGCGCAGCCAACGCCTTGGGCGCCGTGCCTTTGAGGTTGAGGCTCTCCAGGCGCCCCAGCCACTCCGCGGTCCCCAGCAGCGCGCCGGCGCCCGCAGACATCCCCGAGCTGTAAGAAAGGTCCAGCGCCCTCAACGCGCGCAGCGGCGCGCCCGTCAGCGCCGCCCAGGGCATCAGGTCGCCGCTCGCGCCCAGCTCGTCGTTCCACGCGAGCGCCAGCCGCTCGAGGCCGCCGGCCCAGGGCGCGCTCGCCAGCTCCCCGATCACCCTGTCGCCCACGCCGCCGGAGATCGACAGCCCGCGCAGCTTGCGCAGCGGCGCCGCCGCCATCGCCCGCATGAGCGCGAGGACCTCCGCTTGCGGCATGTCTGTGCCGCCCCGCTTGTTGTTCATGAGGACCAGCTCCTCCAAGGGGGAGGCGTCGCAGTCTGCAACGGCATCCGGGCCGTTGCCCGACCCCTCACCCTCCTCAGTAGTGGGGGCGAGCTGCGCGGACAGCAGGCGTAGCACGTCGGCGCCCGACACGCAGCGGTTCTCAATGAGGACCAGCCGCCGCAGGAGCGGGAGGTGCAACGGTGCTGGTCCTGCTGCTGATGGCAGCGCTGGTGCCAGTGCTGGTGCTGGTGCTGCTGCCAGGGCTGCGGCTGGGGCTGCAGCTGCGCCGTCATTTCCGCCCGTGTCAAAAAGAGAACCTTTGTTGCCGTTGGCTGAGTCCTTCACCACAAGCTCTTCCAGCAGCGGCAGCCCGACGGCGGCCAGCGGCGCGAGGCCGTCGGGGAGCAGCACGCAGCCGGTGATCGCGAGGCTGTGCAGGCGCTTGAGCCAGGGTGCGCTGACCAGCAGCCGCAGCACGCTGTCCTTGTAGTACCGTGCGTGGCGCACGCGCGACAGCTCCAGTTTTGAAAGCACGGGAAGCTGCAAAGCAGCCAGGCTTTCGGCGTCGTCCGGCGTCAGGTTCGGGAGGGCTAGCTCCTGCATGCATGCAGCATGTTGAAGTTGGGTGCAGAGGCTGTGGGGTGGAGCCAGCAGTCGCGGCTAGGGGCGCGCCGGTTTTTGGCCGAGCGTTCGGCATGCGCATGCCACATGCATGCACGGGCATGCAACCACTGTGGGGCGGCTGCATGCACGCGCCTTGCTGCTGCGTGTGCATGGCACGGCATGGCATGCGGCCATGCATGGGCAACAAAACAGGCTCCCATGTTGGCCGTTTGCATGTATGTAGCACGTGATACGCATGTGTGCGCACCTGAAGGCATGACCATGGCGCCCTCTCGAGGGCACAGACAAGGGGCGCAACCGTGTCGACTGGATCGCTGCGCATGCAGGTATATGCACATGAGAGTGCCTCGAGTTGGGGAAGACGCGCACCAGCCGCCACAACGGCGGAGCTGCCGCACAGGCAAGCGTGCTCGACCGCCAACCGCCGCAGCTGCGTCAGGGCGCCGATGAGCGAAAGGTGCTGCGCCTGCTTCTGCTGTGGCGACAGGCCGACAATGGCGAGGCTGGTGAGCATGGTCAGCCTCGGCAGCAACTCAAAGAGCGCCACAGCCGCTTGCGCCGTGTTGGTGCGTTGGACGGTCAGGTCTCGAAGGCCGGGCCTGAAGCGCGGCAGGGCGTTCCTGAGCCACCCGATCTGCTGCATGCCGCCGACGCCCAGGCGTTTAGTGTGCGCGTCGCTGCAGCGCCGCGCACTCCGGCTCACGAGGCGGAGCGTTTTGGCGCATGCGGGCAGCAGCAGTGCCAGCATGGTGCGCACTACATCTTCAGGCACCTCTGCCTGGTCAGCAAAAGGCCACAGGGGCGAGGGCTTGTGGCCAGTGTGACTCTGGCTATCGGCGCGCTCGAATTTTTGCTTCTTGACCATCGTGGACACGGTGGTCAAGCGGACATCCGCTTCGCGCGGGCTTGGATGCATTGTGGAATCTGCACGACCTGCGCAGTGTAGAGGGAATTATGAAGTATGTAAACACGATTGGTGTATGCCGGGCCGTGGCAGGGAGTCAAGATCATTGACTGCGGCCCCGTTTCTTTGGGACCAGATCACTGATGATGTACGCGGGCGCCATACCCGTACAAACACCTTCTTCACAAAGCTCCGTTTCCTCAGCTGCGGCAGCGAATGATGCACATGTACATTGCATGACAGTGCGGTAGTATGCAGATAGGTTTGTTGCCAACTGTCCTCTCATCTCCCTTGAGTCCTTACGATTGTTGTATTCCAGGGTGGCTTCTACGCACCCCTTTCAAACGTTATCCGCCAGCCCCAACACCTCTTGTGGCGACCCTCTAGTCACTGGCAGCGTTGTGCAAGCTTCCCCTCAAGGTCAGTGCGTGTATGACCCATTGGCAGAGAATGCAGGATCACAGAGGGTGTGAATATGTCTCGCATGGCAAGCGCCTACTCACACGCACCGAGTACAGCGGTAGAGCTGCCAGGCTCGTAGCCTGAGCCTCTGGTGTGCTGCATGCTGCGCCAGCGAAGACGTTGCTCTGGCCGCTTCTACTTGCCTTGACGTATGAGCTTGGGTGTGTGTGATGGTGGTGTGACCATCCGCATATGCTGACATGCACCAGGTGCTCATGGCGGAACAGGGCTGCCGTTTGGTTCTGGTCCTCAGGTCCAGTGAAGATGGGTGTCTGCAGTATGACTCACGGGTGTGCTGCACTTCGCCAACTCTTCCCCCAAACCTGCCCCAAACATGCCTTTCTACGACATGTGAGGCATGTATTATCCTTGATGAAATGAGTATACAAGCGAATCGCCTGATCAATCTATCGATGGGTTGGCAGATCGCGCAAGCCGCAGCAGAGTTTGCTTTCGATCTTGGTCCATTTGCGTAGAGTGGATCTAGAGTTCATTTCCAGGTCAGCTGCCGAGTCACGGTGGCCATCCCGGCATACACTACGGATCGCTGAGCGGCGCAGCACACTGCAAGGCGCTCGCACGCGTTGCTGCTGTCGCGCCCTTGCAGGCGGGCATGCGCGCGTCGCTGCGCCAGCCGCTGCTGGCTGCCATGTGAGTCATAAAAGAAGCCCGCGCCAGGTGTCCACAGTGCCTTTGTGGCTGCGTCCGTCGTAAGGACATGGCACGCAAGGCGCATCTGCCATTGTCTTGTGCTCCAGAGCCCGATACGTGCCCCCCACCAAAAACACACGAGCAGGATCGGCATTGGTATCGGTTACTATACTTTCAGCGAGCCCCTGAGCCGCCTCGCCGCGCAGCAGCGGCAGGAAGTGGAGGCGGCCGGCGGCGCCGACGCGTGGCGCGAGGCCAAGCAGAGGGAGGCGGCTGCTGCCGCGGCCGCGGCCGCGGCGGCGGCGGCGGCAGCCGCGCAGGAGGAGGAGGACCGGCAGAAGCCGTGGCGCCGCAAGAGGCGGCAGGAGCGGAGCCAGCAGGAGCAGGCGCAGGCGCAGCAGCTCGAGTCTGAGCCATCATGAGCGGTGGCAGCGCTGAGGTCAGCATGGACGGCCGCCAGGGCGCCGCCGCCCCCGGCCGCGAGCCCGTCCCGACGCTCCTGGTGCTATCAGCCCGCGCGGCGGCCTCTGCGCTCGCTGCTCCGGCTCTCCCCGGCGCCGGCGCGTCCGTGGCGCCCGCCCATGCGGTCGCGGCCGCGGCGCTGCCGGCGCCGCTGCGCGCGCACGTGCTCGCCGCCGCTGCGCGGCTGCAGCTGCTGACCGAGGAGGCCCTCGAATCCCTCCTGGTGGGACCTGGCGCCGGGCGGGACACAGGCAGCAGCGCGCTCAGCTGCAGCAGCGGCGACGAACCCCCCAGCGGCGGCGGCGGCGACCCCCTCGGGCCGGCGCGGCTGATGCTTGCGGGCCACACCCTGCTGGACGGCCGCAGCCTCACCAGGGTGCTGGCAGGCCCCGCCGGCCCCCACGTCGGGGCATGCCTGCGAGCGCTCTCGCTGTCGCGAGTCGCGCGTCTCTTGGACGACACAGTGGAGACGATAGCGGCGCGCTGCCCCGCGTTGACCGATCTTGACCTCTCGCACTGCCCCCGCCTGACGGCGCGCGCGCCCGCGGCCGTCGCGCGGGGCCCGGCGGCGGCGCGGGGGCTGCGGCGGCTGTCGCTGGCGCGCTGCTGGCGCGTGGCCGGCTTGGGGGAGCTTGCGGCGTGCTCGCGGCTGACGTGCCTGGAGCTTGCGGGCTGCGGGAACCTCAGAAATTGCGAGGCGGCCCTGCTGCTGTCGTCGCTGGCGCAGCTGCGGCGGCTGGACCTGCGGGACTGCCCGCGGGTCGGCGACGCCGCGCTGCTGCCGGCGGGCGGCGCGGCGC